AGCCTGGAATTCAAATTCGTTTACGCGGTGTTGTGGAGGATGAATTATTTTCCACTATGCAACCTCTTTCGCCACAGTCGTAAAATCATAAGCCACGTCACGACTCTATCGATATTTCCATAGCAAATTCGACCAAAAAGTTGTTCAACTCTCACTATCCAGACTTGATGGAGTTCAAATTTGTTTATGCGATGCTGTGGAGAATGACTTATTTTCCACTCTGCAACCTCTTTCCGCACAGTCTCAAAGTAACAAATCTCGTCACGACTCTATCGCTGTTTCCATGGCAAATGTTCAGATGAGTTTCATTCTTTTGTGTCACCATTTCAGGCTTTGCAACTATGACGCGCTATGTCACCTCCACGGAGGCGAATCCCCACCCATTTCTAAATGCATGTTACTTTTTACTCAGTCAGACTTTTTTTTCCAAGAACTGCCCCGGCGGGTATGCTTCCCTGGACTCCACGAACTTAACGTCAGCAAATCATGTCTTATTTATCCTCATAATCTTTACTTCTTTCTACTACCTGCTCATTATTTATACGTTGAATATTCTCTTCATCTTTATTGTTCTTATCGCAAAATTTCGACCGTTGGGCTCTCCGGCCTTAATCAAGCAACCTTCAGGGAAATCTGAAATCTTTATTTTTTCTGCGGGTATAGATTTTTCTCATTCCACTGTCCATGTATATAAATATCAAGTCTTGTTATTTAGAACTGCTCAGTTATTGCTCACCCATAGCTGCTTGGAATAAAAAATCTGAAAGCCGGGTTCAAATTCCAGTCGAATTCGTTGTTTAGTTACGCGCAAATAATTTTGGGAAACGTATGAAAGCATAACCAACTCCCCAAATATGGATTAAATAGTAGAACTTGTTATTCTAAATGAAATTTTTTAAAGCAAGACTCACTTGAAAAAAGTAAAGAATCATTGTTAGAATCCAAAATATGCTTCGTCTTTAAATAACACATAAAGGGTGTTAAATCTTTAAAAAAGGGGGTAGTACGCACTCCGTTTCCAGTGAATCCAAAGCACTGCCCAGCTCAGCGATTGAACGGACAATAAATGCATCACATATTTCACAAAGTCATGCTTTAATCTACTAGCCTATCGCCTTGAGGAATTATTCAAAACGGAGATAACGGAAATTTTCCTCCAATTTTTCATTCATATCACACACGTTAATCATTAGAGCCATTTTAACAGTAATAATGTATCTTAATTGGCTCTCGAACATTGTATTGCGTGAAATTTGTAATTCATAAAATTTGTTTTGTGTGAATTGTTTTGTGTGGATTGCGTGAAATTGCATAAAATTTTGTATTGCATGAAGTTAATATAGCATGACATTTTTATTGGATGAAATTTGTATTGCAAGAAATTTGTATTGCATAAAATTTGTTATGTGTGAAATTTGTATTGTATGAAATTTGTATTACACAAAATTTATTTTCTGTGAAATTTGTATTGCGGGGAATTTGTATTGCATAAAATTTATATTACATAAAATTTGTATTGCATAAATTTGTTTTGTGTGAAATTTCTATTGTAAGATATTTGTATTGCATAAAATTTGTTTTGCCTCAAATTTGTATTGCATGAAATTTGTATTGCATGAAATTTTTATTGCATAAAATTTGTATTTCCTGACGTTTGTATTGCATAATTTGTGCTACATGAAATTTTTATTGCATAAAATATGTTTTCTGTGAAATTTGTATTGCATGAAATATGTATTGCGTGAAATTTGTATTGCATGAAGTTTGTATTGCATAACATTTGTATTGCATGAAATTTTTATTGCGTAAAATTCGTTTTGTGTGAAATTTGTATTGCATAAAATTTGTATTTTGTGAAATTTGTATTGCATGAAATTTAGTACAATTTCCATCAACAACATTCCTGATCTTATGAGTTCTCAATTTGTTATCTGTGCTGATTCACATCTATTTGCGCCTGTCTTAATGGTGAGTCTTATCACTTCGATAAGATTCCAACTTATAATTAGTGTTGTATTACGACATAATGTTAGTAGTCATTTTATCCCTTTCACTATAGAAAAACAATTGGCATTCATTGACCGAGCGTGCCAGTAATGTTTTCGATTGAAATTTATTAAATATTTTTCTTAAAACATCTTTTATTTTATTTTTTTTTTTTTTGACAAATATATTTCTCAAGTCCAGTAGCTGTTATCGCTCTTTCCATTATTGATGACAGTTTCCTTCCTAACCTTTTGTTTAATGTGGTGTGGAAGTTATTGATTATGTCAGTTACATGTGCTATCCATTTTAGTTGCTGCCAATCCTCAAGTGATGTGGTTTCTATTATTTAGTACAGTTCCTGTGATCCTATAGCGTCAATCAACAATGATCAAAGAAAGATGATCTTTGGCAAGATCCTCAGTGTTTATTCGCTCAAATCCCTTTTCGCCATTGATCTGAAGAAGCTGATCTCAAAAATGACCTACAATCTGTTGTTAACTGCGGTAATAAATGTCTCGTTAATTTTAATGACTCCAAAACGAAACTACTCTTTTTAATCGTCCTTTTTTTTTCTTTCTATCACTATGGCTAATGCTAACCTCCAGAAGAGTGACTCATGCACGTTCTTAGGCTAACCCTTTTCCGTTGAAATGAAGAAGAAATATTGCATGAATCAAATGCGATGTCTTCTGCCAAGAAAGATTCTTCCTTGTGTCATGCTCGACCATTTTTCTCGCCAGAATCTTACATCTTTATAAGTCTACCATTCTTGAATGCATTGAATATATTGTTGCCACACTTGCTTCTGATATTTATTTAGAGATTCATGACAAAACACAAAGAAGAATTGCTATTGGTTCTGCAAGCTTGGATGTGAGGGTGGTGTAATAGATAACGGCTCGGAATTGTTAATCGGAGAGCAGGGTTCCAATTCCAGTTAGGTTCGTTATTTTCCCTTACACGCAAATACCCTTGGGAAAGGTATGAATCCACTTCTTCTCCCCCCCAGCTATGGGTTAATTAGTAAGACTTGTATCACCAAGTCATTATCTCCTGCTGTGGCCAGGTATTGAACTGACAACTCTTTTGGTCAAGACCCTTTTTGGATTACTCAACCAACACCTTTCACAACTAGGCCGTGTGCCCCAAGGATAATTTACTGGAACACATGGCCCAGTGGATAAAAGCGTTGATCGAAATTATCACGTGACTTGACCCAAATAGTTGTGAGTTCAAACCTGGCCACAGCTGAGGTGAACAAAAACCTGGAGGGTTGAGTTACTAAAGGTAAATAATTGAAACTGAGATATCCAGAAAAGGCATGGCACGTGGAACTAGGACAACCTAAAACCGTGGACTAAATAAAGGGTTAGGTTCGAAATTCCAACGTGTATCACATGAAGAAGGCCAAAGCGTACAACGACCGAAACGTTGTGAATATGACTATGAATATAAGGACAACAGTTCGAACAATGTAAATAGTAATATATTGACAGGGTGTAATGGTCGCGCTAAATAACGAAGAACAGGACAATCTCTATAATAGTACGATGTTAAAACTGGCCAGTGCGGAATCTATTCAGCTACAGTACTTCGCAACGTTACCAGAAAATTGTGACAACGTTGGGGGAAGAGCGTTTTTTGGGGGGGGTCAGGAAAATGGTTGATTGCAACGTTCCCTTGCTTTTGTAAGAGCGAGATCAGGCCTAAAAGGGAATACTATTAAAATTGTTCTAGTTCCACGTGCCATGCCTCCCAGATGCACAGTCCCCAGTTTCCATTATCGATGAAGTTCAAAAGCGTCTCCGCGCCCTTGTGGGTGAAAAACTATTTTACACCCTGCAATCCCCACCTCCCACAGACTAGATAATGAAAGCCTCTCACTGCCCTATCGTAGGGGTGGAAAGTGTTCTGACAAACTATATTACTTAGTTCCACCAGTTCTAATCTTCATGGCTAGGACCCCGCCATGCTAGACGCATTTTAGAGAACCAGCCTCGTGCCCTCCGTATTCGATTGGTGAGATGTAAGTTCCACTCGAGCCGCTCCTTTCAGCGGACCACTTCTCTCTGGAACAGACTCTCAAGACGATGCTAGCCAGATCGTTACAATTTTAACCTGTTCAAAACCGTAATCTTCCCAACCTATCCGTATAAACTGTCTCTCTTACTCTGTAGCTCTATACCTACTTTGTGGGATCGACTCCCAAGAGGATGCTTCCACTGATCTCTACAAATTTAACCTGTTCAAGTCTAGGGTTAACCGTTATCTTCCCCACATATCCGTATAAAGCTATGCCCCTTAATCTGTAACCCTCTACCACAAGTGCCCCCTGGACCTTGTACAGACTGAAACTCTCCGTAAAATAAATAAATAAAAGCTGTAACGTGACCCCCAGCGTCACGTATTCTCCACAACCTAAATAAAACGTATCTGTCATGTTAGAATAATTTCCTTTGTTGGTTGGGTTAGAGCATATTCGTGTCGATTAAGGGAAAGCGTCTGGCTGTGTACCTTTTACTGTTGACCTCAGGGCCACGCACCTACGGCTATCAAGGGCTATGGTCTCAGATACGACACTCTATTTGCATGGGTTTCATTGATTGGTTCATTTGTTTTTTACGGCTTACCAACCCTTTGCAGGTTATTTAAAGCCAGAAAATATTTTTAGATAATAAGAATTTGGGGAGAGATAATCATAATTTACTGAAACAAATCCTACTAATTAACCCATAACAGAGGGAGAGGACGTGGATTCGTATCTTTCCCAAGAATATTTGCGTGTAAGTGAATATAAGGAACCCAACTGGAATTGGAACTCGGCTCTCCAATTAAAAAATCAAAGTCATTATCTATTACATCAACTGCACACCTAAGCTTGAAGCACTTGGTATTCCCAAGCAGTCACCCATCTAGTTATTGACCTGGCTCGACGTTGCTTAACTTCAGTGATTGTACGAGAACTGGTGTTTCAACGTGATATGGCCTAAGCTTTACCACCTGCACATCCAATCTTACAGCACTTAATATTCTCAAGCAGTCACCCATCTGGATACTGACCTGGCTCAATGTTGCTTAACTTCAGTGATTGTACGAGAACCGGTGTTTCAACGTGATAGGCCATAATTCTTACGACCTGCACATACAAGCTTGTAGCACTTGCTATTCCCAAGCAGTCACCCATCTAGTTACTGACCAGGCTCGACGTTGCTTAATTTTGGTATTTCAACGTGATATGTCTGTAAGTCGCTCCACCTGCACATCCAAGCTTACATCACTTACTGTACCCAAGCAGTCACTCATTCAGTTACTGACCAGGTTCAACGTTGCTTAACCGGTGTTTCTACATGGTTGGGAACATAGAGATTTTATTTCTTGTTCTTTTCTTCTTGCTTTTTCGTTTCTGGCGTAGATTTAGCAATATGGCCAGGATTTTCGGTTGGTTGACCTTGCGTCGGCGACGTCCTAAATCAAATGCTCCTTCACCCACGTTGTATTTAGAGAACACCCGAAGAAGTTTCAGTCTCAAGGATGAAACTTCGCATGCCACATTTTAAACAAAAGTAAAATCTTCGAATAATGACGATTTATTGAGTTTTTATTTCAGGCTTATCAACTGTTTTAAAGCTGTAATCATATTTTCCATTGTAAGAATAATTCTTTTTTGTAAGTAAATGTTACTCAGGTCAGTGGAATAACCAAGAAGGCACACAGAGACGTGGAGTTGATCATCAGACATGCTGATAGGAGGCGGGAAGTTTCTCTATGGTGGGTAAAAGAGAGTAGTTTTGTTTTGGAGTCATTAAAGTCATTTCTTGTCCCAGTCAGCGACATATTGGAAGACCTTTCGAGACCAACGGCCATGTTAGTTTTGTCAACAATGCCGGAAAAAAAGAAAATTAAAAACAAGGAAAACGACTCCAGTAGAAATTCGGCATTTTGACAAGGAATTTTTTTTTCGTCTTAAATTTCAGTGTTTTTATTTTTATTTTATTTTATTTATTTATTTATTTTTAGTTTTTAATCATTTTATCCCAAGCAAGTGATTAAGGCAAAAACAAAAAAGACGCAAGTTGTTACTGAATGTTAGAAAAAATGAAGTAGAAAAAAATATTATTAATGATAGGGAACGTCTGCTTCTTTCTTTCCTTTCTTTAACCCTTTGATTCCTACGTTCCTGGACAATTTTAACTCTTCTGCCAGAGCTCCTGAGTCAAAATTCGCATATAATTGGTATGTAACATTTCAAGGTAGATATAAGAATAGTTACAAGTGTTTACGCATCGTTCAACCTGTAGCCGGGCATTAAGTTATTTTTCTCTACCACTGATCAACTGGTGGCTGGGCATTATGTCATCAGTGGTTCTTAAATGTTTTATTTTTAACCCTTTCAGCACTGCATTCCTGAATATTTTTAACCCTTCTGTTTGAGTCCCCGAGTCAAAATTTGCAAATAATTGGTATGTAATGTTTCACGATAGATGTAAAAATAGTTACAAAAAATATAAGCATTATAGTGATTTTCCAAGCGTAGCTTAGATGTGGCACAAGGCCGAAAGTATGGGGCACCCAGTGAGGTTCGAACTCACGACTCAGTTGTAATTGTTCTAGCGAGACAAGCTTGCTAACCATTACACCGCCTCGAGGTGCCCAAATATAAGCATTATAGCGATTTTCCAAGCGTAGCTCAGATGTGGCACAAGGCCGAAAATATGGGGCACCCAGTGTGGTTCGAACTCACGATTCAGTTGTAATTGTTCTAGCGAGACAAGCTTGCTAACCATTACACCGCCTCGAGGTGCCCAAATATAAGCATTATAGCGATTTTCCAAGCGTAGCTCAGATGTGGCACAAGGCCGAAAATATGGGGCACCCAGTGAGGTTCGAATTCCCTACTCCGTCGTAATAGTTCTAGCTAGACAAGCTTGCTAATCATTACACCACACCGAGGTGTCCAAATATAAGCATTTTACTTAGCAGGGAGAAAGTACGATTATACTTTTCCGTCTTCCCACGTGGTCAAAACGGAACAGTCCATTATTTATAGGATATTGGCAGGGTATAACGTACGTGCTAAGGGAGGGACAAATGGTATGATATGTTGCATTTTCCCAGGTAAATGAATTCTTAGCCTGTCTGATTGTTTCATGTTTGTTTTGGAGTAATAGGTAAGCTTGAAAGACCCTTACATGAAAATAGACGATAAGAAAAAAATATCACACAAGAATGTGCAACATCAGTGGTTCTTAAATGTTTTATTTTTAACCCTTTCAGTCCTGTGTTCCTGAACAATTTTAACCCTTCTGCCTGAGCTCCTGAGTCAAAATTCGCAAATAATTGCTATGTAATGTTTCACTATAGATATAAAAATAGTTACGAAATATATAACTTTTTTGATTATTCCTTGGCTGTCCAGGTTGAGACTCTTCACTCTTTCATGGTAAAAACGATCTTTATTTTATCCAAGACATATGAACAAAACACAATAAAAAAGCGCGGACATGTTGGTATAACGTTCAATGACCCGATTATATTACGGCTTTTCTGATTGGCTCTTCAAAATAAGATAACTAACAGCATAACACGACGCAAGTGTTTACCCACCGTTCAACCGGTGGCTGGACATTAAGTCATTTTTCTCTACCACCGGTAAAGCGGTGGTCAGGGCTCAAAAGGTTAATGATAAGGAACAATACAAAAACAAAAGCCATACACCGGGTTGACAGAAGCGCTAGAAATGGGATTGGGAAGACGATGTAATCGTGTCTGAGCATCTGAACCTTCTGGCCGGGTTTATGTTATGTCCTCTCTCCCCGAAACTGAAGGGTCATGGCATAATGGTGTGCCTGAATCGGTAATCGTAGCGGAACCAATGTTTCAACGTGATATGGCCGTAAATCTTAACGGTTGATAGAGAAGTCATTCTGAGGGGATTATTCATAAGGTCTCGGAGAGCTGCCTGATAATTGACAACATGGGCAATTTATAATTAAATAAAATATAATTGTGCTCCAGTTTTTTAAGAATAAATTTGATAAACAAAAACGGAAATTATTCATAGCTCAACCACATATATACATTTTGAATTATATATTTGGCTTGTCGAACAAAACAAATCTGTTGAAAAATTGTATGTTTAAAAACTGTTAGAGATTCACAATGTTTACAAGGCTATGGATATTTAAAGGTATACACATGTTATGATGCAAAAAGGGTGGATTAATCTTTTTGTAGGGTAAACCTGGCACCATAGCAATGTACGTGGGTTGTTCCAAATGTCCTAAGCCTCACCCAGAAGGACTTGCAGAAACAAGACAGTTTTTCCCTATTTTTCAATGTAGCCCTTGCTTGCTTCCTTCAATTGTCTTAATTCTGGTGCATAAAACTACTTGTTCCCTTTTCCACGTAGACATGATAGACTACATGATTATGCATTCAAAATAAAAAAAAATACAGTAGCCATCACCTTGCAAACTCAAGCTGCCTGCTTGAACTTCTTCGTGGGTGGAGAACCAGATTGTTTCCACTGTTTACTTTGAATCTTTGATTCAGGTTCAAAGTGGTGAACTCGGGTTTCATCTTGAGCTACTAAACTGCTGTGGAAACTCTCAAGGTCAGCCTTGAAGCGAGTTATAAGTGTTCAAGAAAGGTCAATCCTTTTCACCTTCTGTTCTGGTGCCAACATTCTTGGGTCACGTCTTGCAGACAGCTTGATCGTCCCTAAGGTTTCAGTTAAAACAACACAGACCAAACCAGAACTAATGCTTATGGGCTTAGCTATCTGCTGGACAGTAAGACGTCTGTCCTCCAAAATAGTACGGTGAATAGCATCAACTTGTTCATCAGTGATTCAGGTTTTTCAACGACGTGATCGAGGGTCATCGTCTATGCTACTCCTGTCCCGCTTGAGTTCCGCAGCCCACTTCTTCACGGTTGCATAAGAAAGGTGTTATACCTGAACGTACCTAGTCTATTATTAATAGACTCTCCCACACATAATAAGTAGTAGTAGTAGCGGTCGCCAGTTGGGCTCAGTGGAGTTGAGTGAGTCAGTCGATGTCGGACATTGAAGTATCAACCATCACAACTAGATTGCTGCGTCATTAACTCTTATTTCAAGTTCCTAACGTTTTTGTACGTCGGACCCTTTTAGGACCGACTTAGCGAAATACAAGCCTCCACTGTGAAAACTACTCTACAACAGAGGTTAAAATTCAAGCAAAATAATCAGGGTTCGCTTTATACCTGAAGTCTGCTTATACAATAGCATAGCTTAGATGTGACACAAGGCCCAACATATGGAGCACCCACCGAGGATTGAACCTACTATTCAGTCGTAACTGTTTAGCGAGATAAGCTTGCTAATCATTACACCACGCATAATGATTTCCCAGGCGTAGCTTAGATGTGACACAAGGCCAACAGTATAGGGTTCCCTGTGTGAATCGAACTCACTATTCAGTCGTAACAGACCGAGCAAGAAGGACTGACTAACCATTACGCCGCGTCGTAGTATCCTACTTATATTGATTTTTTAAGCGTAGCTTAGACGTGGCACAAGGCCAAAAGTAATGGGCACCCAGTGAGGATCGAACTCACTACTCAGTCGTAATTGTTCCAGTGAGAAAGCTTGCTAACCATTACACCACTTCGAGGTGCCCTTAAATGATTTTCTATCCGTAGCTTAGATGAGGCACAAGGCCGAAAGTGTGGAACACCCAGTGAGGATCAAACTCACTATTCAGTTGTAATCGATCTAATAATAATCGCAAGCGTCTGTACCATGTCCTCCTTTATTTTCATTAGGTGTTATACGGTTCTTTTGTATATATTTTATGATTTCCCGGGTCTCTGTTTTGTCTACTTTTAGATTTTTCACGCATCTTTCACTTGTATGCAGTCAGTGCACTGACGAAACGCCATCGCTAGACGGAGGTCTTCGGAGACTGAAGTTAACAGCCAGGGCGGAAGGTTTCCCCCGATGGCATCTGTTGTGGTTTAACCCCGAGAGGAATGGTCACCTCTAGGTCTGCTTGCCCAAATCAAGATACACATGACTGAATCCCACTCCGACTTTCAACGTAGATATGTAGAGCGAACAGGTAAGGTTCT